GTGTGTGTGTGTGTGTGTGTGTGTGTGTGTGTGTATGTGTGTGTAAAAGTAACTGTTCGAAACGTGACCCGATGACGATCGACGAGATAACGGAATGTGCTCATTTGACCTAGTCACGCGGGCGCTCGTGTGTGAGACCCTTCGCGTCCTATATATTTCACATCTCCATGGGATCCCCATGCAACGGTATTATTCGGACATGATGATGGACGCGTTTAGGTTTCCCATTGTCTTGCAACTGTCTCTAGCGGCATGATGTAAATTTTAATATATAAGTTTTATTTTTCTCTATTTTTTTTTTCCTTTTTAGAAAAACGTTGTTATTTCGCCATCCCCTCGTTGACGAAAACTTTTTCACTGAAACTTTACGCCGCCGCTGTCCGAACGCGATTTTTCATTGGTTGGTTTTAACAAACGACACCATTGCAATACATGCACGCTTGCGTTCTATCTGCGCGAATTCGTCTTATCAAAACCGAAACAATACATAATACCATAACAATACACATTTTATATTCGTTTAAACATTCCGGCGAGAGTAGTATCCATCACTCACGCGTTCTACAGCGGTTTCGCTTATGTATATATTGCAATGTAAAAACTCCAAACTCACAATTGTATGTATTTTCCGGCCGTGGTAACGGAGTGTTTTCTGTACAATTCGGAACGTTAAGTGGGAAATATATTCCATAACGAGGCTCTAGAAATGAAATTATTAAAAACTAAATACGTTGTTTCGGAAGAACAGCGAAATTAACATATATTTTTTAAGAGAGACTGATACGCCGCGTTCTCCTCTCGTTTCGCGTTTATATGAAGTACACTTCTACCACAGTTCTTATATGTTTGCACCATTAATAATTAAATTATGTAAACTGTATGATTTCAGATGGAATAACCAGCTACACTATCCCATTGGACGGGACTGTGAGTGACAGTACTGACATGGGTGACTTGTCATACGACGGAGAAGTACATGGTGATAAAATTCAAGGAGGTCTGGGACGCCTAGTCGATGGCGTTCATGGAGAAGATAACTTCAAAATGGATATTGGCTACGGGAAAGGTAACAAATAATGTGCTATAAATGTATTAATTGCGAGGTATTCAGAAAGAGCTGATCAAATCTCTGAGTAGTTATTCATTAACGGCATTATACATGCTATGCGAACTCATTATTTGAAAGTTTGCATTAGAATGGAAATACGTTTGAAAAGTTTAAAATTAACTTAATTTTCATTTATTTTCTATTCGTTAAGGTTCGAACTTGTAAATTCAAAACATAAATTATATTTTTCAATTTAAACTATTATTCATTAAAATTAGGAATCTGATCTAAACATTTTTTACCTGCGAAAACTATTTCTAAAACTAAAAGGAAATCATAGATATTATATTAAAAGGTATATTGAAAAAGCATTGTGTTATACGTTATTCAAGTGTGCATTGAAAATTTTAAAACTAAAGTAGCTTACGTAAAAATATTACATTTAAACGTACAAAAAAAAAAGTAGTATAGATTTAAACCGAACAAAAAACTACCAGGAAATATATTTTATTCATAATAATGCATTCTATCGGTATTACTATATACATTTTTGGTATTATCCTATGGCAAATAGTATTTTCAATGCCATAATTAGCTATAAAAAATATATTATTAAGTACCTAATACCTATCATTATTAATCCGAAGTGTTATGTTTTTCCTACGTGACAGTATATGTGTACCAGTCCATACTTTTGATATTTTTTTCAATGCGATTAAGCCGCGCAATAATCGTTATTCATAATAAAACATGATATATGGTTGACCGGTCGAAATATTTTATGTTCTCGTGTTTAGGAACAATTTGTAAATAATATAGTTTGAACTATACGCTCAGAGTTTGATGTTGGTTTAACATCTTTTAAAAGTACTCTTTTGAAATTAAAATAAAATAGTTGATATGTAATTCAAGTTCCACGAATAAATTTTACGATCTATAAATATTTAATTCTCTTAATAAAATATTTTAATTATAATACACTACTCGTCCAAACACGATTAACGAAATCGTTGTTTTTACCAATTTAGTTATATCACTCCGCAAACCATTAAATGTACGGTTTTAATGCACCTTACTTTAAGTAATACCCATTTTCAACTATCATAATATACTGCCACTGTAATAATTATAGTATGTACAATACCTGTATATAGTTAATTAATCTAATCTGTATTTATGGTACGACGTCTAATGACTTCCTTTAAACCGATGGCGCACTAAAAAGTACAGGAAACCTTTCCATGTAGAAAACGACGAGTACCCCATATATAATAAAAAACAGCGACAGCGCTCTACGGTAATCTCCCGGGCGAACAATACGATCCTACCGTTTACCTTCTACACACATGTATAATTACTATGTATTATATTTATATCAGTTTTTATCGACCATTGTCGAATACATCAAGATGCTATAAAATATGATGAAGCGTTTGCTCTGTACTAAATTGCAACTTGGTATTTGAGAGTGACAACAATGTAATCGTTCAAATGTCAAACATTTTATTTGTAATAATTAAAATTATTTTTATAAAAAAAAAAATAAAAAAAAAATTAACAAATTAGAGAAATTGCTATAAAAAGTAGTTGGCGTAAAATGAAGAGAAAAAAAAATTTTTTGAACCGTAATAATCTGCATTTGAGTTTATATAGAATCACATTTGATTATAATTAAGAAACAAATTTGTGTTTTTGAATGGTGATTATTTTTCAATTTTCTTAGTAGATGTTCTCAACATCGATGAAAAACTTGTTAGAAACATGAATCGATGATAATATATTATACAGTGCAGTAGTATAAGGATTGATTTTAAAATATATATTTTAAAACCGATGTTCAAACTACTTATAATAATTTCGTCTATCGATTTTTTTTTAAAAAAAATGTATTCTCTCCAATGATGGCTTGAAGATTGTACGCGGAATCCACCGTAAACCGCTCTCCACCAAACGGAGTCCTAAAAAAACCATAAGAACTCGAACGTCATAATCTGTAACTGCTCGAAAGAAAAGAGAATCACTGTCAATCGTGATTCGACCCGATCCCAAACGCGAAAACTATTGCCGACGGTACCTACCTAGGTACCTACCTAGGTAAATAGAATAATGCTTCGAGGCCAACTTTCATGGGAAGGGACTGCGATTGCGTTGTGCGCGCGCGTACGGCGATTAAACAAAAATATTGTTAACAGGTTGATCGCCACGTCCGTTTTTACATACATTTTTAATTTTTACATAACATTTTTATGTGAACACGTATACGGGTCTCAGTTGACTTTCAATTTTGTGTCCGTGTGTAGACCGACGTGATGACGTACCGATCGGTCGGTCAGTTAACCGTCCGGTACGGATACCCACTGCAGTTGTCAAACACGTTAGCGAACGCAACACGGTATATTGTTTAACTGTCGGTGACGTGTACGCGCGGCCATCACGGGCATCCGCACGGAAGGGACGCGGGCCGCCATTTATTCAATTATTGTTTTTCCCGGGGTGAACTTACCCGAAACGTTGCAGCGGGAATGTGACGTTCGTAGAAGCTAATGATATGGACGTTTTAATAAGCCCCGGGAAACTTGCACGCGTCCCGCGGCACCCGCCGTGTGCATAAATAATAATTCAAGTTTCAAAATCCCCGACAATAACAATAACAAATAAACGTGCGTAACTTCGGAAAACGAAAGCCCTATAATATTTCGCGCGGCTCTGGAATAAAAGGAGGAGACGGGGTGCGCGTTGGTGGCGGAACTCCGACGGCGCGTCGGGGCCATGATCGGGCGGAAACACGGGGGTTCATTATTACAGAACGGAGGTAAACGCATATACGTATATATACGTCGCGCGTGCGTGTGTAGTTTTGAATATTACGATTCCCCGAGCATGACATGAAATACGATAAAGTAAATCGGGGAAAAACTATACTAATGGAACAACGGGTAATGATCGCGGGCTTCCTCGCCCTCCTTAAAACATTTTAAGAGTTATTTAACTTTAACCCTTGAGCCTTCCACCCTGCCGCCCCGTCCCGTGACATTTTTTTATAATATTTTTTTCCCCCACTTTGTTTCCATTGTATTATGCATGTATCATTGAAATTTTTAATACGATGGATAATGAGAAAACCATAATAATAACGCAGATAGAGGGCGAAATGATAAATACTACGTTATACCGACTATACAATGTACTGTGCGTATCATATGGACGCGCTAAATAATTCGTACCGAAATACGTACGAATAAAATTAAATCCACGCTAATTATTCATATGATTATTTTACCAAGAGCACGTATATAAGCCATGTAAAAATAATAACAATAAAGACAATAATAATAACGCGGAATTATCGTTTATCACGTAAAGAACATAAAAACATGATTTCTCGTAAACCTAGAAACTGTTTTTGACAAATATACGAGTTAACATTTGTTTTCCGCGATGTACTACAAAAGTCAAGAGCATCCAGTTTAACAACGAACGTTCTAGATATACCTTCTATGATTATAAATAGCTAGTACGCGGAGGTTGACATAGGTTTGGAAAAAAAATTTCTGCGTGCAACGTTTTATGTAGATTTACTGCTATAAATAGTATTCACAAAAGAATCATTGGTAAACGAATGGGTTCGTCGACATTTGCTCAGAATGGAAGAATACGCTCTCTATTGAAATTAGAATAAATTAAAAAAAAAAGTATATTATGCTACAAATACGTATAATATTAAAGTATGATAATAGTTGTCACTCAGCTGGTGTTACAAGATAATTTTATTACAAAGTACTATTTCTGTATTTATTCTGTTCTATTATCTATAATAAAGCAGTTTAAACACTTATTTAAACATACTTTGAATTTTCGTTTAAAAATATAAAAATTTTTTAAAGAAAAAGCACTTTAATTACCATAAAGATGATTTTAAAATCGACTCAATCATTAACATTTACTATATATTATTGTTCATTTTAAAAAAGTTAACACATCGAGTACTATATTTAAAATGTAATTATTCAATTCGCTCTCCAACGTAATATGATTTATTAATTATTTGCTTGACTATATTACCAACTTGTATAGAGTAAAATATAAATTATTGTATAATGTGTTACAAAAATATTAAAAAAATAATCAACATTAAAAATTTGATTTAACTGTTTAAAAATGTATTTTATAAATATTGATTTTGCGCAGGTAACGGATGGGTTGGATGGCGCAAAGAATCATTTTCAAAAGGATTTGTAGAACTAGTGTTTGAGTTCGGTGAAGTGAGAAATTTTTCGGCCGTTCACATATTTACCAATAACTTCTTCAGCAAAAATGTACAGGTAAGATAATTTACGAAAGTCTCTGAAAATATCTATTTGATTTCTTCGAAACTTATGTGTTTTTTTTTTTATTTTTATTTCAAACACTCATCAGTTATTTCATTTCAAATAAGAAAAGAGAATTTTTTTAATAAATTCTGAAACTAGTAAAAACCTGCCGGCAATGGCTTAATGATCTCTTAGAAATAATATAAAAATCGTAAGTTTCAAGCATCATTGAAGAATGTTGCACAAACTTCTTTATCTTTAAAAATACGAAAGTGCGTGCGTGTGTGTGTGTTTGTAACTGTGACAATATAACTTAGAGAATATATATTTTTATGTTCATATATACCACATAATGTAACCATACTACTAACTTGAAATAATGGAAAACAACTAATAATAGGGCCAATGAATCTCGTAGGTCTTGATTTTTTGTTCTAACTAAATAAATTGTCACTTTGAATTTTTATTCACCTGAATTACGTTTTAAGCTTTTACTAAAATTAATTAATCCATATACAAACCATGCTTGTCACGGTGCATCACGTTTGCGTAATAAAAACCAATTATAGCGAAACGCATATAATATAATCAACCGGAAAATTATAATATAATCAATAAACTCTGAAGATGTGTTCATGGAATGAATCAAAACAAAGGTTAGCTAACTGTGAATCTTGCCATTGCAAATATATGTTGGAATTATCATTAATAGACTTAAGATAATTGCACTTATATAACGTGTGTGCACGTGAGCCACATATAAGATTCAATTAAATGATTTAACTTAGAAATTATTCATCTGAATTAAAATTATAATCACAGAATAAATTAAATAATTATTATTAATATTAATATTAAAAAGATAAATCCAATAATAAACATTTGGCTTAATCAATACGTTGGTACCTTAGAGTTTATAATGATTTGTTGCACTAAAATTGTATAATACTTGATGTCCACTAATTATCGTCGTTATTAAGCTGAATATTTTATTGATTTATTTATTGTATTATATTGTATTTAATTTTTTTAACACCAGATAATTTTTGTTATAAATTATTTATTTATTATTGATAGAATGATTCTTTTATAATTTTTTCTAAAAAAATGGTTCTAAACATCGTGGAGTATATTAATAATTATAATTATTTTTATAGACACTTTTTCTGGCGGTCTGAAGATAAAAACTTATAGTAAAATATATTAATATAATGAAAATACAGTTAATTTTTTACTTTTCCTATAGTTAAATATAATTTTTTTAAATAATAAAAAAATGTATATCCACCCGTTCTTAAAAAAAAATATTTAATATTTATATGCATTGTGTTAACCAATTAGTTTTTAAGATAGTAGTTTAAGATTTATAATAACTGTTGAGATTAAAACAAAAGTAAAATTTTAACTTATGCCAAGATAAGCAATATAAAACAAATACTAAACACTGTCTTGATACTCCATTAGTAATTTTTTAATCTAAAATAAGTCATATAATAATAATGATTTAATATTATTATTTTCAAAAATATTATAATATAATATATGAAAATATGAAGTATTAATTAATAGTTATTATTTTTGCCTAGCTAAAAATAAACACAGTAAAATATTGTTTATTTTATTACTTAGTTATGTTCAATATACTCATGAATTTGATGTTCAACTTATACCTTAATTAAAACTAATCAACTTTCACTAACGGCCTTTTATTAAAACTAATAAATTTGAAATACCGTATACTGAACGACAACTCCCTTTTTTAAAATAGATTATACCTTTCATTAATTATTCATACGTGTGATTATATAAAAATAATAATAATAATAATAGTAAAACCAACATTATATTGTCATAATTAAAACTATAACATTTATCATACAAACTCAGTTTTTATCATTCACGGTAGAATATACGAATAACAATATACTTACACATTAGGCACACTAATTAATCAAAATGTACAATAAACAATGTCTGTATATTATATTATTTCTATGCGCATTATTTGAATAAAAACATCGTTTAAAATATAATAAAAATAGTCCGCTTAAAAAAAGTAAATATCATTAACCAACTTTTCAATGCTCACTTGATATTCAGTCGATCACACATGGATCTGAATATTATTGGTTTCGAGATTGTCATTTCTTTCATACAGTTGTACCGTTCGAATCATGGATCTACAATTGAGTATGTTGAAAAAATATACTAACTCGCTAAGCAAATCGCTACAGTGCAATTGAAATATGTTGCATAAGTTTTATACTATAATTAATATTTAAACACACAATATGTGATTACCCATTCACAAAATATGCTAATATAAAAATATGATATGGTATTAGAGTTTCATAATTTCTAACTAACTGTACGTTTTCGTTGCACTGTCGTTTCCAACATTACCACCCTACACATAAACTTCCACCCCATGGATTTTCTGTTTATTTTTAATATCTTTATATATATAAATACCATTAGAATGTACATAAGCTTTTTTTTTTTTAATGAAAAATGTATATCAATTACGTTTGATGCTTGCGCGTATATGTGTACATATATAGGTCTAAATATATAGGGTCCACACCAGACTCCATTAAATGGCCGGTTTTCGTTTTTTTTTTTTTTTTTTTGGTTTTGACAACAATTTATAGTCTCGCGGTAGGTAAGACCTTTTAAGGCCTGACCGCGTAATGCCAGTGACAGATTTATGAATCATATATGTTTCATTTACTCCAGAAATATAATAACAACAATAAACAGTTACATAACGAATATCATATTACATTATACAGCACGTGACGTGATATACGGTGTGTTTGTGTTTGTTTAACACGTATACACCCGAAAAAGATTACTCGAATCTCAGCTCCACATTCTATAACCACAATCTACTACACCCCTTTAAACGATTTAGGAACACAGTCGATATGATTGAATATTTCACCTATTCACGTCTGGTAATCAACATCAATTTCATTTTCTAAAATCTCATTTAAAATGATAGATGTAATAGTATTAAAAATGTTTTTACTAGTGTTAATTTCTGCGCTATTACACTAGTAAATAAGTTAAAATTGTATCACATGATGATAATGAATTTTTTTTTCATTTTGGTAGTAATACAAATTTATAACAAAACGAAATATAATTTCGAAGAGTCGGAATAGTATTCGCATTTTTGTGGTATTTTTGCCATCAACGTATAAAGGCATTTTTAGACTTCTAGAAATGCAGAGAAACGTATGAATGACCCAGAAAACATCAAGGACTAAACTAAAACAACAAAGGTATTATTACGCATTTCTTGTACATATAAATATATCAACGGCAGTTATATATAACAATATTGTTATTATAATATTTATAATATATATTATAATTATTATAATACTAATTATTAATATTATTATTATTATTATTATGATTATAATTATTACTATCATATTTTTCGATCATGTTTTAAAAATAAGAAGAATTATTACAGTGTTAGTGTGGTTCGGATAAAATCTACACAATTTTTATAATGCGGCGACACGAATAGGCAATTTTCCTACGTCCGTAAATATTATTTTATTTTCGTTGCAATTCCATTAGGTTTTTGACAATATTCATTCCATTTCACAGGCCAATTAAAACAAAATTTTACATGATAAAATGTTATAAAATAGTAATAATTAACCACGATAGATTACGAACATACATTATTGATGTGCACATTTTCAATGCACATTATTTTATTAATTTTAATCGATAATTGTATTAACGACCAAAAATATGAAAACAATATGCTCAGTAAATTCATTTTCAATAAAAACATCATAAAGTATGCCGTTGTCAAATACATATATTAAATAATGATATAAAATAAAACGATCGTAATATTATACAATATTACAGACTAACATTTCACTAAATTATAAGTGATTCTAGATTTATAAATTGAAGGTAACAGATGGCCAACAGAATTTAATTATATTTTACAATGTAAAGTTTACATAAATATTATTGATACGATTATTTCGGTGAAATTTTCCATCCTCAACTCGAATAGATATAAAATATAATGATAGGATATTGCATATTATGTCCTAAGAATTTATAAATGCACGTTTAACATCACATTTAGTTAACAACTATTTTAATTGATTAATGTCACTCATTTTTTATAGATTTTTTTATTTATTTGATATAGATGATATAGATATATTTTACATGATAAGTTTGATGAGAGGAGTCACCCAGCGGTAATCCCTTACTTGTATTTTTATTTTTATTTTATAATTTTATTTATTAATGTATATTATTCTTTAGATTAAAAATTCATAAGATCTCGACACCAATTACTTTTGATCCTTCTAAGAGGATTTCCAGGAATTATGTGAGAGGCAAGGTTTGATATAAGGGGACTGATATGAGAAGGAACTCTAGAGTAGAATCGTTAGTAAAAAGTCTCTGCTTTTTCATGGATTGTTTTGATTTTTAGATCGAACTTTTTTTTTGTAGTTAAAAATATAAATATATTACACCGACTCTGAGTAGATCACATATTTTTTATTTTATAGAAACGGGACATGACCCAAAGAACAGTATTATAATTTAATTATTTAAATGTAAGAAAAATCATAGTATTAATTAACTAAAGTAAATTGGTATTCAATAGCAAAGCGCATCATCCAGAACATTGGTTTATTGCGGGAATGATTAGTAGTACAAAGTTTTAAGAAAAAATGATAATGTAAATGTTGGTGGTAACTAGGTTTCTTAAAGTTAATTTGGCTTAGAAGTTCATGTAAATCAATAAAACCAACAATGGGTTTTTGTGAATGAATACTTGGTTGGCTAATACACGCCAATCAGTTAGGTTTGATAGTCCTAGTACTGTAAGTATTTGTCTATAATCATACGTTCTATGGTTAATATGAAGCAGTCTAGTAGAATAACTTATGAATGTATTTTGTAATTTATATTTTGCGCTTTTCAATCTGGTTTTTTACTGATGGCTGATTTAACGTCCTAAATAACAACAAAATACTCTATGATAGATCTTACTAGAACACAATATAATGCATTTTGAAAAGCCAACAATTTAAATTCAGAAGACATTTTTTTAACGAATCAAATACTTTTAGAGCCTTACAATAATTATCAAATAATATAAGTATTATATTATTATATTATATTATACTTTATATAAGTATTTGTTTAATTAATTAGTATCCGATCTAGTATTACACCAAGATCGTTAACCGCATTACCTGGATTAACGAGAAGAAAATTACATTAAGTGTAATTAAACACGATTGGTTTACAAATTCTCTAGAAATACATAGAATGGCACTTGGCGATATTAAAGTCTAGGCCCATGGTTATAGCTCAAGCACTTAATGTATTAAGATCACGTTGTAGGAGATGACAGTCATTTTTAAAACGGATTTCTAAGAATAGTTTTAGATCATTAGCAAATATCAGAAAATTAATGTTTTGAATATTACTCTTAATATTATTTATAAACAAGAAGCAAATATTTGATTAAATGTGACCCCAATCAAATTGGTGTAAAACTGCAGAAGCAAAAATGCCTATATTAAGACACATAAATATTAAGCCTCTTAGAACTGGAACTCAAAGATACACATATAAAAAAATCGTGCAGTATTTTTTTTTTTTATTGTTTATAAACATTTTCAATTTTCATAGTATTTTATAATATTATTCGGTAGGTGCAAAATTAATTTATCAAATAAGCTGTTTGTGAACGTAATGGACTCTCTATATGGCTCATAGAAAAATTGTTTAACATTTTTTTTAAACCTCGAAATATTTATAAAATAAAAAAATGTATTTAGTTTTTCCACTCTTTTAAATGCCGACCGTTGGACATCAAATATTAAAATATTTATTGGTAACGAATAAAATTATATTATGAAAATAAATATTATATCAACTGTTACGTGCCGTCAATTCAACAGTTCTGACGTTAGGATGAGTATTTGGATACTCCAAATAATTACTCAATTTAAGTTAAACTTTATTTACTGAGAATATTCTAAGTATAAACCCTACATTTATGTATATCCGTAACACAACTATTATTTATACGGAATTCGTATAGTATTGTAATATTACGAAGTACTCATACACACGTAATGTACTTATATATTAAGATCATGGGTAAATTTATCAATAGTTATAACGTTTTTAAAATAAGTATACAATAATATCAGTCTTATAATTTGATAATTTTTCTTCGTGGTATGAAATAATATTTTGCGTACATATACATATTTAAAATGAAATGTTAATAAATTTTTTTTTTATGGCAGTGTGTAATGGAGTCTGTAGAAAAGTTTATTTGAAATGAAATAAAATACCCAGAGGCACTGTTAGTAATAAATCCTTTCCTGATTTATTATGTAAATATACATAATTAAATTATTACTTTTCTCAAATAATATAACGATTATCTTTAAAATAATGAAACTACCTTAAATAATAATTTTCTAACCTTTTATTTAATATTTTATGAAAAAATATTATGATATTAATTTAAATTTACTCGGGTTTTTTTTTTTTAATTACCTATAAAAATTGGGAAAAAAAGTAAAAAGGCATCTTATAATCATCGACTGCAATAAATATTATTATTATATCGAAAAAAAAACTACTTGCAATAAATCAAAAAGTTTTCCAACTCGGAACTGGCTCATATGACAGTCCATATAAGAAGCATGGATTTTCTAAATTCAGTCCGCATTTGTAGCGACAGTCTTCGTATTTTGTTAATAGTCATTGCAAAAGTAAGTTACAACGAAAATTACAAAGTTTGAATTCGAATAGCATATCTTTTGGAATTGTTGGGATGCGTGGCTACAGTACATCTTCGCCTTTATATTTTACGTTTAAAATTGTAGCTTCGATTATATCACTCATCAACTTCTTTGCCAAAACCTTAGTACCAATGTAGTCATGGTGGATTGATGTTTTTTAGGAGTTAATGTTCTTTTTGGAGAAGAAAATGGTTGCTCTTGGAATTAATTTTCGGTAATATAGACACGTTTACCATGTTCTAGGGACATACTGAGGTGTGTGACAGTGAGGTTTCTTTCTTTATTCGGTTGTTATAGCAACAACAAAACAACAACTGCTCGTTTGTGGCTTAATCAGGTGTACTGATGCTTCTCTTCCCTCTTCTTTCACGATAAAAGATAGTGTATGTCCTTCTCCAAAGTCTAATATGTTTCTATATCAAAATTAATCTGAAATCATTTGAGTAGTTCAGTAAAGCATAAAAGACAAACATTAATTATATAAAGATTTATTTCTTCGTGTAAACTATTTGTTTGTTTATTTTTATATTAATTTATGAACGTTAACATTTTAAAATTCGTAATCGTTATTTTATTTTTATAATTTTATTATAAATATATAATAACCCGATTTTAAATTCTAAACGTGTGCGTGATTAAAAAATAATAATAATAATAATAATAATATAAAAACCCTAAAGAGATATAATATTATTGTTTATATTACGCTTATGTTGTGATATTTACGTTCAGACTTTTTTTTTCGAAATTGGAAAACTATATTTACTGTCACTTTCGTCTGTATTATCTGTTCAATCCGACGCCATTACGATTTCGCACAATCCTCAGTACATTATCAGACAATGGAAACAAATTTGACACGCTGCCGACAGCGTTTGTCGGCATAATGAAATTGCCGTGTCGTCGCACACCCGGTTTCCGGACTTTGCGCGATCCGGCACATTACGCGTTGATTCGAACTGTGATCGTTTATCCGTACGGTGTTGATTTGGTGCCGTTGTTGCGCTTAAGTTATTTCATGATATCACACGCGATTGCGTTTAGCTCGCAGCTCCAAGTCGAATCGTGATACGTTTGTATTTATTTACAATGTTATGGCGCTCGCGAACGCTTATCTACGTTGTTTTCGCGGGTGTTGAGGATTAAACGAAATTCGGACACTTCCCTCGTCTAATTCCGATATAATCCACCAACCGAAGGGAAGTTGAGAAAAAAAAAAAAAGCACGAACAGGGAAACATTTATAAGCCAATTACCCCGTATAGACGTTTAGTGTGCCGCAGTACGATATTATTTCCGAACGTACGAATTGCGTTTGCGTACAAATTACACGAACACCGACGCGACTCGTGTCCGTGTACATTGGACTGTACTTATATGTACTTAATGATTTGCACGACGTCGGTGATCGTACACTTTTATCGAGTGTACGTGTATTGAAATTCATCGATCACGCGCCACTTATGAAATCCCGCGTTCTGTTATAGGTTTTCTCCAAAGCGAGGGTGCAGTTCAGCGTGGGCGGAGTGCATTATCACGGCCGATCGGTTTGGTACACGTACATGCCGGACACTGTTCTGGAGAATGCCAGAGACGTCGACATACAGTTGCATAATCACGTGGGCAAGTTCGTGAAAATCCAGCTTTACTTCTCCAACAAGTGGATAATGATTAGCGAAGTGAAGTTCGATTCCGGTGAGCACTTGTGTTTAATAGTAATAATAATAAATATTAAGTTATCATTACTATCGGTCGTTTATTTATTTATTTAGAATTAAGATATTAATAGCGTAAGGTTAAGGTCTATTCACAGGTATTGGTCACGAGACGGTGACGCGTTCGATCAAAGACAGTCAAGTCACCGACGATTTTGACTGATCAGTCAAGTGTATTTCACACATATCAGTCGCCAAGACCGGTCAGTTCCGAGAAATCGGGTCAGTTATTTTGAGTCTGTTGTACCAAACACGCGTTTACACATATCGTATTAAATATTTTTTGTGTATTTTTGTTTATTTAATTTATAATAATAATACTAATAGTAATATAATAATAATAATACTAAAATTACAACGTGAATTTGACAAATTTCACTGACGAAGAATTATGTATTATCACGATCATTTTAGACGAGGAAACTGAAGAAGAAAAGAAGAAGATTCCGAAGAGACGAAAGTGGGTGCACGAGGCATGGCAAAAAAGAATTCTTGACACTATATATATATATATTCATATATTTTGGATTTGAAAGATCGTACAGCACATCATAGTGTCGAACACATTCGATAAGTTGTTCGTCATCCATTTCGCCTACATTTGACGTCCTCGTCAACTGATATGGGTGAAATACACTTAACTGATCAGTCAAAATCGTAGGTGACTTGACTGTCTCTGATAAGACGCGTCACAGTCTCGTGACTGATATGTGTGAATGAATCTTAACGATTTGAAATAAAACGACTGCGGGGGAGGGGCGCTATATTTGTTCATTCACCCACTCTACCTGCCATAGGCCCTAGGCATACTACCTATATAGCGGCTATGCACTGATACAGCCCTGATGGCACAACAGTTTTGGCGTACCGATTACGCGTTTTGTGGCTAGGGCCCGTTCCGTTTCGAATATTCATACCGTAATATTCATGCATGGCACTGTTAGATGTGTAAACATCTTTTCGGTTTGTCGATTTTTTTTTTCAACCGTTTAAATATTATTTTTCTACATACTACATCTGGAATTTCAATGTCTCTATGAATAGATGCGAGTCCGACAAGACTTGACTTTGAAGTTGAATTCACGACGGATACACAATATTATATGCATTAAATACCTACTACTACAGATAGATAACTGTAAAATGTTAATACTAAAATTTTTAAATATTTTTACTTTTTTAACGATTTTCATTGACCATTAATATAATTTTCTTTAAATTTCGAGGAGGGCTACAACCCCCTCAGAACCCCCTCCCCCCATTAGAAATGCCACTGCAGTCATAACTTTGACCGCGCAAGACCTATGCAAATCGAGTGCAAGTGCCGTTGGTTGGATTGCGCACCGGTGCATCGGTATCGCTTGACAGGAGCGATACGTAGTGAAGTTTCACCGACTACGAGTAAAACGCACGCGCACACGTTAAACAACGGTTCGTCTGCAGCGAACGGTACGACGTATAGTAAACGCTTTCGCGTTAAAGTGCTTTGAAAGTTATGCTTGTGTTTAATTTGATTTTTCACTAAGTATGGACCCGACAATAAGCCCAATTCGATATTCACGGCCACTCGTAGTTTAATTTCGCTATAAAATGATCCACATTATAAAAATTTGAAATGTGTATCTCACATGTATAACCGATTCCTTAAATACGGATTCCGATCGCCCCATCGCCCTCCCTCTAAAATACATCCCTGGTGTTTCATACGTTTATGGCGCTGCATTGATTGATATTCCTGCGCGACCTGTAACGGTCCTATCCCGAGTTCCAAATGAAATATTTATGGTGCGTGGGCGTAAAAAATAAAATAGTATTTGTTTTCCACTCGAGTTGTTCGCTCTTTTGGAAAAAAAAAAAACCAAACGTGGAACTTCTAAACGAAAATAATTTTTGCCGAGAACCCCTTCAGAACCGTCGTCGTCATCGTCGCGTTCCAGCGGATATTATGATTGTTCTACACCGTACACGAGTTGAATCGCGCGCATCGCCACCGGCAAAGCGTATAATCACGAAATTTATTGCGTCGTTTGTCAACGTACAAAAAGTTTCGTTCGGTACCGTATTACTATCCGAATGCATACGACCCCGACCGGAAGAAAACTACGGCGAGACACGACGCATTTTTTTCCACTGTGCACCTACAAAACGTACCTTTCCGTCGACGCGTAACCGCTCGGATAGCGAAACACGTGGTGCAAAGATACGGATCGCAGATACTGTATCGGATGCGAAACGGTTTTCATGCGAACGTTTTACGATATACATATACGTATATCGTCGATTGGACGTACACTTCGAGTGATACAAACATCATTATTTATTGTTAATCGAACGCTGCGCAATCGTAACGTTTTTATTGTTCGACACTTTTTTCTACACCAGATGTCATCGCGATGATTACACGCTTCGATGTGCACGTGCTTACATCGAAATGTAATGCTTAGCCGAACGTTTAACCGTATTTCTATAAACAACGGTCGAACAACTGACAAAAAAAAAGTTTTGAATTCCGATTTATTTTTGCTTAAATAGACCGGTGAACGTCATTATATACTATTGGTCGTGATTCATAGATGCGAATGACAGTAATCAGCGCACGTTTTTCACTGTATCTGTTGAAACAAAAATAACTAGTCATTCAATTAATCTTTTTCAAATATTACCATTGATATTAAATAGTTATCTTTTGTATGCATAATTAAAAATGTTTGTAAGGAAATTTAAGTTCAATTATTGAACTAAATAACAGTAAAAAAAAAAAAATTAATTGCTTTTTGGTATATTATAATATATATATATACATATATCGCAAGGTAATCGTGCTTATTAAATCATTAAAAAAAAAAAAGTAAATTTGTATGTTATTGGGAAAATAAATCATTTTTACATTTTAATTCGTTAAAAATGAGATATGAACTCGGTGTTAATTTGTTATTTCTTCTCTTCCCGTAAAAATATAATACCATGCACCACTCGAAACACGACCGATTAACAAAACCATCAAAGGCATTCCCTATTCGCGATGTACGAAACATGCGCTGCAGATGACACGTGTAATTTGTGTAATTTAGTAGTTGAAGCAACAGCAACATCGGTGTAATAATAGGCACATTTTAAGACTTATTAACAGTCGTCGACTTCTCGTGAAAACAGACAACGGCGTCCGACAAGTTTAAATCCTCGTCAGTCATCGTTGTGTACAACACGCAGACACCCGCCTCGCACATTTTCACTCAAGAATATGTGTACTATGTAGCGTTACATCGGTTAACTCCGTCTATTAAATGTACTCAAACTTTACAATGAGACCAAACTTGGCACTTCTCGTTTTATACTCGATTCACTGGGACCCGGGTTAACACGATGTATTGCATACAAGCATTACTAAGGGTATTTTAATCTAGTGATCTGAAAAAGATTTACTTTCGGCTTCCACATAAAAACTAAAAAAAACAATGAAACAATAAAACCTCACCCTCCGAGAATCGATTTCTATAAGTTTAAGTGATCAAAACAATTATTACGGATACGTTAAAAAAAAAAAAAAACATGAATAAACAAAATAAATATTTAAATAAGGTCCAATATGATATAACTGGTTTACTAATACTGTGCGAGTTGCTCGGACGAATTAATCGTACCGAGAGCGTCCCAAAACGAAAAACGTAGATCGCGGTCTTACCATAACGCACCGTAGCCGACGTCGCGTTTTCGAAAAAGTTCTTAATTTTTATTTTTCTCCCGTGCGTGCCACATCCGGTGCCGCGTGTGCGCGGATCGTAACCGCCTTCGCAACTGCAACACACGCGCGCCACGCCGTCTCTCACGCGTCCCACCCATGCCTGCCCACCCTTAACGAAAGCTGAATCATTTATTCGACCGCTAAGCATCTGATATACGCATATATTACACAACATGTACATTATATGTTTATAAGTTATGACCGTGTGCGCGCGTAGTATGCATGTATGGACGTAAATATGTACATATATATACGTCTCTCTATTCTTCATAAGAGGGTTATTTATGGGGCCGGGATTATGCGAAAGTAGAAACTCGTCTTATGAAGCTATTTATTTCCGGCACGGCGGACTCGGTTTTATTTAAATGCCTTGCGACCCCCGCCCACCATAACGGTGAAAAAAACCCCCGCCGTCACCTCAGCGACCGACGAGTTCGTCCTGTGCAATACACACGATGTCGTACAATTGTGTGTTTGTATGTCACACATTAAAGAAAGGTATTGCAATTAAATTTCAGACACAAAATTAGTACATGCGTACAAAAGCTGCAACAGCATGATTAACGTCAGAAAAAAAATATGACTGCACGAAATTCGTACATTCGGAATTCCTGCACTAGAATTTTTTTATTAAAATAGTTTTATTTACACAATCTGTTACAAAAGTATACACCTGGATGACCAGTAAATTTGACGAAAGAGAAAAAAATAAAAATATTACATAATTGACCGTTATTTATCCTCAGTTAGTCTTCGGTCAAAGGGAAATTCTACACATTGTATAATAATAGTTTGATTTTTAGTAACCTAATATACCCGATAGCCGAAATGAGCACGAACAAAAACATTTTTAATCACACCTCCCCTCGCAAAGCGGCAATATCATAAAAAAAAAACTACGCGATTCGCTTCTGACGCACTAAAAATAACTCACTCGCAATAACAGTCATTTCGTTGTCTATTTTTACATTAAATTCACTGTAAATTAGAAATTAATTACTTTAAGCAGTTCGTTTTTTGTTTTTCATTTTTCTTCAAGACCGTAATGTCAGACACCACCCCGGTAATATAGAATTGTCATTTTCGAAAATCAAAACCATTTAAAAAATCGTAACTCGTACAATACTGAACCGAAATCAAGCCGAGATAACACGAATTGTGACATTCATAAGTCCGACCGGAATAAATAAGATGATCTGCTTTCGCTCAGCGCGTAGAAATTCACTATTCGACCTGGCACAAGACGGACAGCGCAGCACGGGATTCATAATACCACGATCCGATCATTATACTAATGTGATTTGCGAGTGCTCCGTAAAAGAAAATTATAGAGTTACATTGTCGACCGCAAAATTGTACCAGCTATGATGGTTCGTAACGAATGACGGCCGTCAACGAACAACGCTGTGTAGCAGCGAAATGCAGTTCCAAACACCCCTGTTATTTTGTTCAACATGTCGCGTGATGCGCGCACGTGTGCGCGGTTCAGTGTCTTACGGGTGTGTCGGAAGAAACGCAATTCACACAAATATGATTTACGGCTGCGCTCCGTTACATGCGCGCGCGTAAATCCCTTTGAATTATACAACGGGTTAAATATTTTTATTGCGACTATATTTCTTGTTTTCTTTTTTCTCTCTTCTTATTTCGCTTTTATGCGTTGCAGAACCGTTGCCTCAGAACGTGACGGTGGACGCGGACACGCCGTTTGAAGACGAACAGCTGGTCGGAGGTGCGGTGGATCCGCCTTGGGACTCCCCCGACACCAGTAAGTGGATTTTTTTTTTTTTTTTTAAATATTCATGCGGCCGCGCGCGTGGTCGTTTCTTCCTTTCAATTTACTCCCGGGGTACGCGGATAAGGTCATTTCACGGGTAGGGCGGTTAGGCGCTGCACATGTTTTATTAACGCGATTCCCCGGGTTAGGAATGGGGGGGGTTTATTGAGGGTCCGTGGTGGAGCATGGGGAGTCGTTCCGACACCGTTATGGTACGTGGTCTTGGTGGATGGGAGGGCATGTTTACGATTTCTCTGCTCGTCGTACCCGTGTTGTAAACCACCGGTAATCGTTTTAGCCGCGCACAAGGAGAAGGACGACAGGACCGGCGGCGGCGGTTTGGTAGAGGTGCTCATCGGCGTACTGACGGCCGCCACGCTCATCCTGCTCGGCATATGCGCCATCGTACTGGCCCTCAGCCGTCGCAAAAAGCACCAGACCATCAGCACGTCGATATTCAAAAAACCGTTTGGCGTCACCATCAACATGAAAGACATATTTATGAACCTGTCGCCTCACAACAACAACAGCAGCATCAACAACAACAACAACAACTCGGCCTTGGGCGGCAACCGGCACATCACCGAGAACCCGTTTCCGATCAGCGAGCAGATGCGCAGTGAGAGCTTCGCATCCGACGGCTACGACAAATCGCAGCAGAACGTCATTTACGAGACGCCACTGCTGGCCCGCAAGGATTACGAGACAATTCGCAGCGGTAAAGGTAAGTCGTTTAGTTATGCGCATCCGTTCCAATTACAAACGGAACGTGACCCGATTACACGAGTGACACAACCATGGGTGCAACTGAAGCCCAAATATTTGGGGTTGCTGAGATTGCTGAAAATAAAATAAAATTGTATTTAATTGTTATTACTATAAATTATATAGATCTGAAAAAAAAAACAAGAGTGCTACATTTGAACTCAGGGCTGCTAAAAATCATATTGGGCCCCCTAGTTGCACCTATGGAAACAACATCGACGGTCGGACGTACACGTAACCCTTTAGGCAATAATATTGTACAATATAAATATCGATTCGTTTGCAAACACCTATAAGCCTTATGGATCACCCTAGCGTTTCGCAATACGTTTTACGCCCGTTGAGGTTCGGTAAGCTCGATTCGTTTGGTTCGTCTCTTCGATCGTTCTATTGCACCGCGGTCCATAACGATAACGTGTAGGAGAAGCGGTTTTAAAAACTCCGAGCCAAACGGGAATCGTACGTCGGGTCTTACAGCGATCGTTTTGTTTCTCTGAGGTCACAAACTCTAGTGGGCGATTCGTGTTAAACAATATTCAACCGGTCCGGGATCCTAAGATGAACAGTATTTCGTTTTTCTCAATAGCTTTTTCGGACCAACACAACTAGGAAGAACTGAAAAAAAAACATAAAATTTCGTCCATCAACCGTTCACACCTGTTACACGGCCCGAAAGTTATTCACGCATCGTTGACATCCGAAACGTTACACTAGGCATTACAAATGTAACATTTTTCATCAGGTCGATTTTTATCTTATACCTCAACATATGGAGTAAGAATTATGACATGATACAATTTGTTTTCGCGTGTATTCTCTAATATTTTTATTTTTAGTTTTTTTCAACTTCAATTAAAATGTTATTTTACAGCCTGTAAAATATAATTTTCTATTGGTATGTTGGAAAAATAGTAAATCTAACAAATTGTAGGATGAAGATACAGTTAACTAATGATAATGCATGCAATATATCTAATTATTTTAAGTAATTAAAAGTAATCTTTTTTAACCTTCTATGCGTATTTTTCTTTTCAAGTACCAACTATTGTTAAAGTTGCCTTAAGTTACAACTAAAATTTATAAGATTATATATTCAATATAATATATACGGTGTCGGTGTATTATAAATAATAATTAATTCTCCGGTATAAATAAGTCTTGAGTTTGTTTATCCGGAATAAATCGACTGCAAATTAAAAACCGAGAACTGTATACTTAAACTTTTATCGTACTCTCAAAGTATAAAATATTATTATTATTATTATTATTATTATTATTATTATTATTATAACGTAGTGCGGTTTAAAATCTGAAGATAACGAATAAAGCTCAAGTGTCTGTCGCTCTGATACGTATACATCGTTACGCAAAATCGTAATGACTACTAAGACGAGTATCGCATTGAGAATAACTTGTTCGGAAAATAAAATTAATCCGTTTCGGAATGCCGGTTATGAAATAAAGAAAAAGAAAACTCTATTGCATGATGTTCACCCGTTAGCACATCTTATATACTTTTGAAGTTAATAGCACCATGTTTCAGTTACAGACGCCAAAAGTTCGATTTCCGTGAAAGAATTTTGCCGTAGCGATTCAGAACGAGGATCGCTAAGCAGTCTGGAAATCGATGTAAGGCCGACCGAATACTCAACGAGAGACAGTGTCACCTCGTTGCATTACCGAAGTCTACAGAATCAAGTTTTACCGATGTCCGTAGCGGATGTTCCGATTCGTCCCAAACACCTCCAATACACTGCCGACGCCCCGTCCAGGAAAAGATTTCACACGGCTCCTCGCGAAAAGCACAGGGTAAGATATTCCTTAAATAATCAATGTTGTCAACTATATGTTAACACGAACACGAAATTTTGAATTTTGTAACGCGCAATATATTTTATCCAGTGGCGTTTTTTTTCCGTGAGGAGATTATTCCTAAAAAATAATCAACAATCGTATAATATTATAATTAAATATCTATTTATTATAAAAGAACTGTAAAAACGATAACACTGAACACCTTTTTTTGCCATTATTTCTCTATAACAAGTAAAAACATAAAATAATATTAATACATATAAACATTAAACGCATAATATAATACATAATATACAAAATATCGAAATTAACAACCTCTTTTTCTATATCCATGTAGCAAGTAACAATGTCATTTATAATTTTTGAACCTAAATTTTAATATTTTTGGTAATGAAATCTTATAGATATAAATAATAATACATTTAACTAGGTGGTATATATAGAATTTTTTTTTATGTTCCTGAGGGTTTAGACCTGAGAACCCCCCTCGTTCTGTTCCATAAATACTCCAATAATCATACCATAGTGTAATAGTTCTACATTATTACATAAATTAATAAACCTAATCTGTATATAACATCATGATTTTCCTGTTTTTAACTGAAATAAATTAAGCTATTCGCTGGAAAGTTCAACGGAAAGCAATAATAGAAACAGTTAGGTTTCCCGGAATCTGATTATACTCACTAAACATTAAAGGAACCAAAGGACAATAATATATACTTGGTACTTATAAAAGTAATTTATGGGATACAATGTTATTCTTTATACTATTTTTTAAAAAGATAATTCCTTGAATAAACCAATACATTGTTAGTAATAACATTCGATTTTTCAAAATTATTCCTCTCTTGTGTACCTACTTGTGCTACACATGTGCTCCGACCCACTGTAAAAGATGAACTATTTTACATACGAGTATTTCCATACGGGTTTAGGAATTGTGCACAACAACAACTATTTAACAAAATGTTCTACATAACGATAATATTTACTTGAGGCATTATGTAAAACATACAACTACCTGTTAGAACATTCACACAGAATTTCAAATATATTTCTTATAAACACTAAATACACGGAGATTTCCATACATAAATTTATAACGATGATAATTATTTTATTTGCTATATGTATTAGATATATTCAGGTATTAGAGTTATTTCGAATCAAACAGGAGTTTCAATACTTTTATTTAAAACTAAAATTTAATCAAATCCTATTAAATATACAGCACGTGTACGATTTACAATTCGCATAAACATATTTCGAGACATGTGTTTAAAAATCGTAAGCCCATATTGGATTAATGTTAAAGAACTATCAATGAAATCTTCATTTGAGCATTTCCTTAACGTGTTACGTCGAAATGTGTACTATTCAATACAAAAACTATTAATGTTGTACGAGAACATTTATAAATGTATTACTTTTAATGAGCTGTCGTTTAAGCTTTTTGATATTATCCCATCTAGCGCATTTTTTAAGGAATCTTCACCGGGCAACAAACCATTTTTCCTCTCAAAATAGTCAACGTATAACAATACGATGGTAGTATTCGTATTTCATGTTCGATTTACACCACAATTCAAAATAAATCTGAATGCCGGTAGAAAAAAATCAAACATCGACAATTTATTGTATTTATCCATCGTGCATTAGCTAATTATTTTTTTCATCAGATCTCCTTTTGACGATGATTGCGTATTTCGCTCAGTCATTCGAAACACTATCAACAACCAGGCTAGAAAATATTTTCACTGAGCCTAGTGAACCGGTTAAAAAAATGCGTTGGTCCCCCGTCCGATTTCGCTCGTAACACAGAAACAAAAACTCAGCAAGCCCCACGAATAAGGAACATAAGTGCACGACATCGGGTGATCTATGCGCAAGACATCGATCGCTCAACCTATCCACACGGACAATCGTTTCCATCCCGTTTCCTCTTTTCGCGTTGCAACACCGTTGTGTTCGCGTGACCGTTGTACAACCGTTTTACACACCCGTTTCGATCTTGTTTCAATCATTGTTTCGATCGACCCGTTGCAGATCGCCCCGCCGTCCGTGTCGTGGAACATAAGCCCGAGCATGGGCCAAGCGTACAAGTGCCGGGAGGCGGACATCGTGCAGATACCGCGGTACTGCCTGAACGTGGTCAGCCAACTGGGCAGCTCGCACCTTGGCGAGGTGGCCGTGTGCGAGACGATGGACGTGCGCATGACGGACAATGGCCGCGTGGCCGCCAAGACGTGCGGCGCGGACTCCACCAGGGAGGTGAAGTTCCTGTGCAGCCTGCTCGACCCGAACCTGGTGCGCGTTTTCGGTGTCTGCGCCGACCAGTCGCCGCCGTGGCTGATCACCGAGTACCCGGCTGAGCTCGGCGATCTGGTCATCGTGCTCCGGACGCACTCCACGCTCACATACACGACGCTAATGTTTATGGCCACTCAAATCGCATCGGCCATGAAGTATCTGGAATCCAAGAACGTAGTGCACAAAGATTTAGCAGCCAGGA